TTAAGAAAACAATTTTTTTGGAGAGAATTAATCTTGTCTTGCTTTAATACAAGATTTAAAAATTTTTAAATGTTTTTATGAATTAAAACTGAGATATTCTTGAGATTTATTTATGTACTTAATTATATTATTGTGTTAGATTATATACTTCTAGATTCTGTTCTAACTCTTTTCTTTTAGAAATATGCAGAAATAGTTTATTTAAATTTGCTAAGTAACAATTAAAATTGAATCAGCCATATGCAGCATGTTTTTAAAATGGCATGATGATCTTCGTAATCTTAATGATTAGATTATCTGATAGAATCAGATAATTTCAATGTTAACCAATTCAAAGGTGATGAAACTTGACTGTATCCATTCTTCTTAATTTTTCTAATGAATTGAGGAAATTATCAAATTTGATGATAATTTCCATATTGGTCTCAAAATTGATTCCAATGATTTTAGTGGAATTATTTTTATTATTTTCAGTATCAACCTCTATTATGATTCATAAAGTTTATAAAAAGAATATTGAAACTTTTGAGTTTTTATTATTAGAATAATATTTTTAGGATGAAAAAATATGATTTATTTAATTCATATTCAAAAACTCAACGAAACATTATATACTTGATACTTTCTATGTTGCATGTTGGAGGAATTATTGTTATGCCAATATTATTATAACGCGATAGTGCAATGTACATTCCATATTCGTTCTTTCATATTATCAGATTTTGTGAAATTTTCATTATAAATATTAATTCAAATAAGAAATTAAATCACAAAACCGACCAGATAATATTTGGATAATACTTATCCATTAATTGAGAAATGTTTAAAACATTTTGGACATTTTTGGCATTATGAATCGATTATCATGCTGATAATCTTATTATTATTCTGTATTAATCAGAAATTATTAATATTTTATTCAATTTGTGAAATTTTTTTAAAAATTTAAATATGATATTATTAAAACTAAATTTACTTGTTTATAATAGTATTATAATTATAAATGTTAATATTTATAAAATACAGACAAATCATCAACAATATCAAAATTTGATATAAACGTTTTATTATTAGAATTATATAAAAGAAAATATTAAGTAAAATAATTAATCCTATTTGCAGTTTCTAACATTGAAAAGTGTTTTATAGATTTATTTTTTTCAAGAATTATTGTTTTTCGTGAATCGAGAATATATATTATAAATAAAATAGAAAACTGTCTTTCGATGCTATTTGTTGAATAGTATAATTGCGTGTAATTGCAAATGATAGATTAAATCACATTTTGTATTTTTTGTCTTTCCATATCTTCTTCCAAAATGTATAGTTTGAAATATTTTTCAATAATATTAAAAAAATATTCCAGTATATGAAACAAAATTATCTGACTGACTCTTTTATTATTACCATTGTAATCACAATTTATGAATTTTATAATTTTTCTTAAAACAATCTGTTGCAACATACGATATCAGAATAAAAATTTGATTTTTAGATTAACGCTTGCGCAAATTAAATCATAAAGAAAAAAAAATGACTAATTAGTTCAAATATTATAATTTATTTAATAAACTTCCAGTACTTATGATATAATTTTGATTGAATAGAATTCTTGAGTGCGATTCTTCTACGAGTATGAATTTTACAAGCATGAGTAGTTCGGAAGTTTTTAAGACTTTGTGCCTTCTCTTCCATTACGTTTTTACATTACATCTCTAAAAAGGAAACAAGCTTTTTCCAATGGAAATTTTTGAAATGTTTTAATATTTTTTAGAAAAATTCTTGTACATTCTTGACTTTACATTAAAAATCCTTCTTTATGATAAAATCATTAAGGCACAAAGAAAATAATTCTAAAGAAATCAAAAATAAATGAAAAATCACACATTATATAACTGGCATTGAAATAAACGATTCTATGTTCAACAGAGATACTCGAAATTTAATTTTAAATTTAACTTTTCTTAAATTATCTACAAATATCAATTATGCATTAATATTTATTTCTTGCTTTTATGAATTTTTCTATCGTTCCTTTGTGATCTGTTTTTTTATTAATATAAAAATCATTTTCATTCTTTTCCTTCTCTTGTCTAATAATTGTTTTAGATTCTCCACTTTTTTTTATACTATTGTTAATGATCGCTTTCTTTTTTCATTATTCCAAAATGAACTATGTTTTCTTGAATCTTTTTGTATATTGAATAGCTTATTATCAATAATATTTTTCGAATAATTTTCATTATCAGTATTATGAAATCTTCCAGATTTTTCTTCAATTGTGAAATAATTTATGAAATAATTTTTTTTTATCTTCATCTTTATTATTAAATAATGCATATTGATTTAATCAAATAATAATTATTAATTATTATTATCTTATCAAATAATTCTTGCGCATATATTCTTAGTCTAAATAAATAAAAAATATTACATACATTGCCGCTCAAAAGTATGTGGAAACTTACCGTGTTCATGAAATTTATAATATAAAATATATATTTTTATTATTAAACAATATTTATTGCTAAATTCTATTATGAATATTTAATATTCTAATAATATTAAATTGACAATTTAGTTATTCAATTCTCTTAAACAATAAAAGTCTATCCGATGGGTAAAAAATTGCGTTATATTGTACGGAAAGTTTTTAAGGCTTTTCTCATTCTGTTGACGCATCATGACTGCATCATTTGAGTGAGGTCTGTTGCCTTTTCAACGTAAATATTTAGAAATATGATACCAAGCGAAAGAATCTTAGATAAGAGCGTAGCGATCATTCTGATGTTCTGTCGAGATCAGTTCGGTTCGAATATTTATAAGAGCACGATAGGCACCTAAAGAAACGAATTAAGTGTAGAAATGCGTTCACAAATTATTACTTTATCGAAAGAAGGATATTCTGTAAGAAATTGCAAAAAAAGTAGAAGTTTCAAAATCCTACGTGAGCTACAGTATTTACACTATATACAAAAATACAGTGCTACAGGAATTTGTTCCTCTGTAAAAAGAAGATCTAGAAAAATGATTGAGATAGAAGAGTGTCATATTATAACTACAAATAAAAAACATAGGAGGGAGATAACTTCGAAATAGTTGCAGAAATTAATGTGTCTAGGGAGCAATTTCAGTTTCAACGGTAAAAAGGTGTCTTGCGGAGAACGGTCTTAGAGTTGCGTTGTGTTGCGTTTAAAAAACCATTGGAGATAAAATAAAAAAAAAAAGATTTCAGTGGGCTAAGTGTCATAAAAATTGGACATTAAAAGAGTGACAAAAAGTATTATAGACCGATGAATTCAAGTTTAAAGTGTTTGGATTCAAACGGCATATTTTTGTTCGTCATAACAGTTTGAACAATTTCCGAAAAATTAAATGACAATTGTGTAGTGGCCACAGTTAAACACTAATCGTTCTGTGATATGATGGAATGATGGAAACAATATGACAGGAGATTTAATGAAAATAAATGGAATTTTAAAAAAAGAAAGATATTTGAACATTTTAAAAGAAAATGCAATTCTATCCAGACAGCAAATAATTGGCAATAACTTTATATATGCAAGACAACGATTTTAAACATAAAATACTTCTAAAATATGTAAAAATTATTTACTGCAATTACGAGAAAACTCTGATATGAAAATAATGGAATGGGACTCCATTCTGAATCCTATAGAAAAACTATGAGATCACTTAGACAGATAAGTCCAGAAACGATATCCTAAATCAGAAAAACATTTGTGGTAAATTGTAGAATCCGAGTGGCATCTTATTAATAGGGAAATAATGAAAATATTAAAAGCCAGAATGCCACGACTAGTAAAAATAGTGAAAATATTAAAAGCGATAAAAGCAGGCGATGAATATGTAAACGAAAAAAAAGATATAATTATTTTTAATCATAATCGGTGAAATATTTAATTAATTATTATTAAAATGTTTTTTGTGTATAAACTGGAATACATACAATAAAATTAAATGTACCAAAGATTTTTCAGGTAATTATAAAAACTAGGGAAGTATCTACGTACTTTTGAGCAGTATAGATAATGTAAACATAGTTTAATACTTTATTAAAAAGTTATAAATAAAAAATACGAAATTCGAAGCAAATATTTACATATAGTTTTAAAAGTTGAGTTTATTATTTTTTAATCATTTTATTATTAAATTTATTATTTTTTTGTTTAATATTTACTAATTATAACCATCGACATCAAATTTAATATTAATTTTAATATTCATATATGATTTATATTTCATTATTATATCTTAGTAGAAATGTTTGATATACTTCTCTTCGAATTCTGTATTTTTTTTTATAATTTTTTAATAAAACATTAAATAATCTATGTTTACATAAAATTTTTTATCTATTTAGACTCATAGAATATATTGACAAAGATTAGCACTAAGATATTCTTTATATATATATATATTGGGTATATAATAGAAAGATAAAAAGCTTAGTCTTCTAATGTTTGCCTAATATAATTTATTTAATAACGCTTAATATAAGGTCTGACTAAATTGTTTCTAATAAAATAAAAATATTACTATTTATTATATTAATATAAATACTTATCGATATTTTGTAGAGTCCCTACTATGTTTTTTCTTCACTTTGTTCACATTGTTATAGTATTTGTTTCTGTTTATTATAATGTTTGAAATTTTTTTTCATTGCATCGATTTGAATCATAATTTAATATACAGATATCAGTTTTTATAACAACTTTAAAAATAAATTTCGCGGATTCTTTATTGAAATTTTTTTTTTTTTTTAATATGTGACTTAAAATCTTAATAAAGAAAAATCTGTGATATATTTTAACGTGATCGTCATATAGCATATATTGAGTAGACGCTTATGAATAACTGAATGCTATAAGTCTGTAGGAATCACCAATTGCTAAGAATCTGAAAAATAGTATATATGTTAATTCTTAATTATTAAAATATTCATAATAAATATTTATGTCATTCAACCTTTTCAGCTAAGACTGTAAAAAACAGAGAGAATCGTTTTGCAAGATTATTTTCGCAGGTAAAAAAAAGAAGAAATATGAAAAATAGTCAAGCAGCACATAAAATTAAGAAATAGAAATACAAGAGAAAATACAATTTTTTTAATTTTCTTATACAAATAAAGTGAAAAATTGGATATATAACAGAAGATAATAATAATTTAATGTAAAAATTATCCTTTCTTAAAATGAATAATACTTTAAAAACATTCCAAAGAAGTATTAAAAAAAGAACAGAAAATGCATCACTAATAATAATGAATTATGTCTGAAAAAAGAAGAATAAGGACAACAAAATTTTTTTTTCAAAGCATCGCAATATCAGTCCAATAAATTATAGCTAAGTATGCATTTCCTTTGTAATATATTATAATTATAAAGAAATTATATTTTTCATTACAAGAATTTTCTATTACAAATCATAGCTTTCATCAAATTCATTAATATCATCTTTCAAATTTATAAAAAAAAATCAATAATTTAAATTTTTTCATTAATAAATTATTATATATAGCATTATACTTTTAAAATTAAAGTTTAAAAATTAATCATAGATTTTCTTTCCTATCCTGAATTTCTTTTATTTTGTTTCAACAAATTGATTTTTAACTCAAAATTGATAGAATAACAAAATTTATTTCAATCGTATTTTTAGTTTTTCTTTTAGATTTATAATCTCTTTTTTTTTATAGATATTGAAATCATAAACACATAGACATCTTGAAATATTGAAAGAATTTTTCTTTATTATTCATTAGTTTTCTAATTAATATTCAATATTCTGCACAAATTTGTCTTTTTTATTTTTAAATTTTATAATACATGATTTCACATTTATTTATGCAATATTTTATAAAATTCAAGTGAAACATCTTTCTAATCTTATAATTTTCATATCGGAATATCTGTACAGTATTTTTTTTGTAAATTTTTTTTATGGATTATAAATTTTCTCGCAACTCATCGTCTTCAAAATAGATAGATATCCTGAATGGTTTATCCTCTAATAATTTTTTTTTAAATCATTTAAATCATTTTTACATAATTTTTTTGCAAATATAATCTTCTCTACATACATTGTTTGCAGCATTTATTGCAATATTTTCAAGTTTAAATTTATAAAATAAAAAACGAATTTTTGCTATTCATTTATTATCTTTTCATATAAACAAAAAATATTGAAACAATTGAAAACTACACATTATGAATATAATTTTCTGTTAATATCAACTTCATACATTAAATTTGCGAATTATTGAAATCCAGTTTCATTTTATTCTAAAAAATCGAAAAATTCTAAACTTCTTACGTTGTTTAACGATACAAAATTTATCAAAAAGAATTCTCCGGATAATTTTATAATTTTATAAATTTTGTACATAAATAATTGTAATAATTTAATTTTCTCATATTTTCTATGAAATGTAAATTGTACTATGAATTGTACTATAAATTGCTTTTAAATATTATGTTACAGTTTTCTTGGAAATTAATTGATATTCTTTACAAATTTTTCCTTTATATGAAATTTAAGTTTTGAAAAGAGTTTATAGATAGTAAGTTCAACGAATAAATTAAATATAATTAGTGTTTTTCTCAACAAAAATTTTTTTTCACTATTGTTCAAGCATGAGTTAATTGTCGTGCAATAGAATCCACTTTCTATTTTGAATCGAATCTACGTTCCGTTTCTGTTTATATTTGAGATACAAATTCATGATGAATAATGTCAAAAAATGCAATAAACATTATTTTCATTTTCTTCAATTTTACTATTCTTATTTTTATTGATCTTTCTAAGTTTCTCCAAACGTTTTGTAATATATGAATTACTTGATCTACAATAATCAAATCATAATTTATCTCTGATTATTATTGAATTTATAAAGTTTCACCATATTGATAAAATTTTGATATGCAGAAACACATAATTCTTTTTTTCGTTCTTCCGTGATAAAATGAAGAAACTGTCTTTAAAATTATCATGCAAAATATGAATTATTGTTTTATTAATTTTTAGTTCTTTCCTGTAATATATTTTCTATCGTTAAACGATGGTCTGTAATTAAAAAATCACGAATTGATTGCACATTTTATTACTGTTTATCATAATATAGAATTCTTGGATCAACGACTCTTCATCACTGTTAAATCGTTTATATATATTTTATTAATATTTAATTCTTATTTACAATATACGATGATTTAATAATCAAAAAATTACGAATTGATTGCACATATTTGTTGTTGCTGCTTAAAATAATAAATTGTCCATGATATCGATTTCTTGAATCTTCTTCCCCATTACTAAATCATTTATATAAACTACTCATAAGTAATGTTTTTAAATAAATAATCACCATAAACTACCATAAACTTTTTGCAATATATTAAATACTTTTTCTGTATATGAAGCAAAATTTATTTTTTTAATAATTTGAAGTAACTTTTTTTAAATTAAATTAAATTTATTAAATTTTTTTAGATTAATAAATTCTATAAAATTAATTTTAAAAATGTTTTCATTGAGATAATGATTTAAATATTAAAAACATATAATCAATAGATGAAAAATCGAAACATAGTAAACATGATGATGAATGTTTTCTATTTTAAGCTATTCAGCTTTTATTCAGTATTATTTGTAAAATATCACTTGAGCATTATCATAAAATAGAATTGGATTCTTTCAATATCGATTGTTTTACTTGCAAATTTTTGTGTTTTATTTCAATTTGGATAATTGAAAATATTTAAAAAATATATTTACATCATGAATTTTATAAAATTTTTTAGTAATAAGATGTAAATGTAATTATATATAATGTAAAGTTAGGAAGATGTTGATTATTGTTGTAACACTTATCATATTATTATCTTACAAGTATTTTTCTTAATATTATTTCAAACTTCTATATTTCAAATTTTGTCTTTTTTTCATAATAAAATTTTGGATAATTATTTTCCAATTTTTATCAATAAATATGCAAGGATTGAAATCTGGATTTAGATATTTTCAATACAATATATAATTTAAATATAATTCTTTTACGATACAAGCGTATGCTTGGGATTATTATTTTATTGGAAATAAAAATTTTATTTTTTTTAAATATCTTAAATTTTTACTTGAGAGAATAGAAAGAATTCAGAATGATAAATGACAAATCAGAATTAAATATTAATTCAATATTTTAATACTTAAAATAATCGACTGTTTGCGTTGCCATGATTACATGATACATAAAAGATTATGGTGTAGAATAATTTTCCCTCTGATTGTTTTTTTTTTTTTTTTTTGTAATTTCATCAATGATTTTTAGTAAATAAATCATTGTATATCACTATCAGATAATTTCAATATATTGAACAATTTTTTTTTACAAATAAGATATCCAAAGGTCATTTGGAAAATAAAGTTGAACCATTCCTATATCATGTTCAAATTGTAATTGTCAAGAAAACATTGAAAATTTCTAAATTCCCAAAATTTTTCTTATAAATTCAAATAATAATATGAATGAATATTATTTGATTTATTTGATTCAAAAATATCTTGTTCAAATATATTTTTTAAAATTCAAAAAACAAGCGTGATGGATAATTTTCACTGTGAACCATTGTATTAATATTCTGAAATAGTGAGATAACTCATTAGAGAATCATTTTATATATTTTCAATCGATTTTTTAAAGATCATATTGAAGATAATTGCGAATAAATTCAAATAAAATTGAATAAAACATATTATATAATAACAACGAAATTTATTTTTATTTTCTTCTAACATTATATTTTAATCTCTTCGCTTCGAAAGTCAAAACTAAATTGAATATGCTATGAATAAAAAAACACTACTAAATTAAAGTAATAATCTTGAGCATAATAATGTATAAGAAATAACATGACATAAAATCAAATTTCGTTCGGATTAATTACAGAGCAACCTTTTTTTTTATTTTTCTTTCATTTCTTCCTTGGTAGTCAATAATTCACTCTAAATTTTCTTTAATTTTCTCTGAATAAAAATTGAAGAATATTAAATCTGGCGAACGTATAAGCCATTTATAATTTCCTGTTCGATCCAATAATTCTCAAAGATCTAAGAATCTAAATCTTAAATTTTTTTATCTAATGAATTGGACATTTTATTAAAATTATATAGATCGTTGTATGTGAAGGAATATTTTATAATAATTATGACAAAATTTCTGTTAAAAATTTGTTCGTATTTGTGATTGTTTAATATGTTATCAATAAATTAATTATTTTATTACCAAGAAAACATCAGATATCATAGTTCTTATTCGATTTTCACAACTATTTGTGGATTTTCTATAATTTATATTACGATGATCAATTTGAATAATATTTGTAAATGTCATTTCATTCGAAAATTTTGGTTAAAAATATCATTTAAACGATTTCAGAAATCATATAGCCATTGATAAAACGAAATTTATTTAAACTTTTTTAAATAAATATTTGTAAAATACTTTGTTGATACAAATTTTGTCAATTATAATTGTTAAAATGTTCACTGTATTTCTATTATAATTGTTTTAGATCTTTTACGAAATTTATTAAACTTCTAATTTCTTCAAAATTCTTTATATAATGTTTATAATGTAAAAATCACAGAGCTATAGTATAAAAAATTATTTTATATATAAACATTTCATAATTTGGTGATGGTAATCTATTTAAATATCTATTTTTTTTAGTAATGTATAAATTTTTAATGTATAAATTTAAATCATAATGACAGCATCATTATGTTTAAATTGAAAATTTATACATACATTTAAAATTTTTTGGTTTTTATTATTCATTAAGTTTTTTTCAAACTATTATTTTTTTATCTATGAACAGTAAATTTGTTTTTATTTATGAAAATCACTTTTTTTATTGTATTGGAAGAAAAAATTTATTCATTAATTTCACATAAAAAATTTTTAAATAGAAAAGAATATTTTTGGATACATAATCTTTTTATTATCAAAAAGGTAAAAACATAAAAAAATATAAAAATAATATTATAGATTATTCAACTTACAGGAAATGGTTTCGAAAGTTTGGAAAAGAAAATTTTGATCTAAAAGATCAAATATCTCATATTGGATGTTTTGCCACTACAGATTCTGATAAAATCAAGGCTTTAATCAATGATAATTAATAACACAATAGATTGATCAAGCATTAAATATCCATCATAATTGTTTCGGAATATATAAACGATTTTGTATATGATAAAATTGTTATGTTTATTATTAATAATTAATAATAAAATAAATGTAAATTAATATATGTGACAAATTTCTTGCATTTCCTTTCATGATACATATAAATAAATTTTCTACAAAAAGTATTTGATTCAATTTTGTTCCTCAATATTCCCTCTTCTATTTTAGTAAAAATATATTTCAATAAAAAAAGTTCATTTTTGAATAAAAGATTAAACAAAATTTTGATCATTGAAAAGTTAAGTAAAAAAATTCTTATTGTATTTTAAAATATTTAAATCTAAAATAATTGGAATATTTTGTATAAATATTGAATATTCAATGTAATATTCATTTACCATCATAAAATATAATTTCAAAAAAGAAAATCAATGTTTTTTGATACATAAATTTAATAGTTATTTAAACAATAAGTGCATAATAAAAAAAGAACAGAAAATTTTAGTTTAAAGAAAATGATGGAATCCTGAACAAGCAAAAAATCACTTATAATAAGAAAAGTTTTGCAGCTAAAAAGAATAATTCTATTTACATTGAATGAAACTATGGTTTTCTTTCATCAATTTGAATAAGATGCAATATATAATATTAAATTAGAAAGCAAACAAACAAATTGTAATATACATTCAAAATATGATATTTTTCATAAGTGTAAAAAAAAAATTACAAATCATTTAGAATCACAATGATAGAAACAAAGACTCAAGTTTCATTGCAAATTACAAAAAATTATATTAATACAAGCAAACATTAAAATTTACAATAAGTAATATTAAAATTTACAAATTTTATAGTGATACAATTAAAGATGAAATAATTTATAGGTAACTTCAATTGTTTCTATTTACTATAATAATAGTATTCTACTATTATTATACTATTATTATAATAATAGTATTCTATATTATTACTAATAGTAGTAATAATCTATTCTATATAAAAAAAAAAATATATAAATTCTTAAAGAAAAGAAAGATATATAATGAAATTAATAATTTATCAAGTTTCAATTTATCATGCAAGAAAAAAATTTTAATTATTTTTGGCATTAATTGAATATAATAAAAGAATAAAAATTATGTCATATGTATATCAATGAATATCATATTTATGAAGTAATTCTTTAAACAATTTTATATTTTTTTTATAACATATATTTAAACAATTTTATAACATATAAAGCAAGATTTAGAAAATGACAATAAAAAAGGAACTTTGTGGAAAAAAAATTGCAAAAATAATTTTATAAAATAATTACATGAATTACATAGAGACATAAGTTCAAAGCAGCAGACAGTAAAACAAATAATATAAATATTAATTATATATGATAATAAATGATATTAGTTTACTAAAAAAATTTAAAAATGCTTTTAATAATGTTTTTTATTAATTTTTTATCAATTTGAAAAAGTTTAAAAAATTTTCTTTTAAAAATGATTATTTAAAAAAAGACATGATATCTCCTACAATTATACATAAAATTATTTTGATATATAAGGAATAAATAATAGTTTTTTTATTCTTTATTTTTAAAATATTTGAAAAAAAAATATTATAGAAACACAATATTTTAAAAAATTTTATAAATAGGATAAATAATATGTTTGAAAAATCTTATTGATTTTTATCTTTTAAATCTAATTAAATTCTGTTTATCATCTCTGATTTTATTTTATTTTTGTTTTTCGTTTTCTATTGATAAAAGAAAAAATATAAATTTGCATTTGAATATAATAAATGCAATAATGACATATATATATCTATTTAAATAATATTTACAAATACATATACATCCAATAAAATATTTTACTGTGTTACTTTTCAAAATACATTTAATTATAATAATTATTTTTTCAGTGAAAAAATTAATAAATTTATTATTTATCCTACAGAATTTATATGAAAATTTATTTGAAATAGTATATTTGGTTTTTATAATTTTCAATATTTAATGTATTTAAAAATTTTAAATACTTAAAAAATTGTATATTAAATGATAATTTAAACATCTTCAAAAATAATTGATAAATTTTTGATAAATAATTGATAAATTTTTCAATATTATTATGAAGTTCTATAATTTTTACATTGCTTTCTGATATATTTGTTTCAAATTTAATAATCATTAAATGTATCTAACAATAAAAATTTATGCATTTATGCAAAATATTAAATGTACAAATGAAATGTATTACATTCAAAAAGATATAAAATATTTAAAATATAATATATATTATATTATTTGAAAAATCATTGTGGCTTTTTAATGTAAATTAATGGAAATTTTTTTTAAGTATTTCCTAATAAAAGTATTTTCGATAAAAAATTAATATCTAAATATCTTAAAAATTTATAAATATCTGATTAAATATAATAGATTAATCTATTATATTAATCAATTAGATCATTGTTTTGAAATATTTTGAGTATTGCACTTTGATCATATTAAGAATAAAATTATAAATAGCCTTTTATGTATAAAAACTGAAATTTTTTAATTACTGATGCAACAGTGGCAGAATTTTCCTTCAATAGTTCTATAAATGAGCTGAATAATATATTCTATTAATTCAAAATTCTTTTAATGTACTCTGATAATATTAATCAGTTATAAATGAATTATTTTTTATTACACTCATAATATTCTACTTCTTTAAGCTTTTTGAGAAATACTTGTATTAGATACAAAATATAATTTTCATATCAACTATTAAAAAATAAGATATTAATAAATTTTGCCTTTCTAATAATTAAATTTGAATTGTTAATATAAATGTTTACTATATAAGTTTATTATAAACCACTTCATTAAAAAATGCAAAAATTTTCATTGTTTTCACAATTAGCATCTGTTGTGCTATGTGTTAATAAAATCAAACAAATAAATTTGAATTCAAATTTACATATTTATCTTTATGTATATATCTAGCTAATATATATAAATTTTTTAAAAAAATCTATATTTTCTTCTAAAAGAGAATTTGTTATATAATAATTTGCTGATTTTTAAAACTATGGTTATAATTGATTATATTTTTTATTATTGTTAAAATTTTAATTCATTTCACAGATCTATCTTTTACATTTTAAAATCTAATGCCATAATATTATTATTCCATCAAAATGATTATATAAATGAAAATTTCAATTATATTCAATAAAATTAATATTCTATTCTTTTTTTATTATTGCATAATTAGAGAATGCAACTCTTCTTATTATTTTCTTTTTCTTCTTCTTCAGACATTTAATTTATAGAAAGATATACTTTTCCAATGAATTTTTATTAGATGCAAAAATTATGATATATTTTGTAATAAATTTTATGAATATCCTCATACTTTTGCAACCATAATTCAAAATTAGATATTTTACATTTAATATAATACTTAATTTAAGATAAGATAAATAATGCTATACTATCATCTGCTTTTTAACCTTTTTTTTTAAATAGAGAATCATGTAGCTATTATTATCTATTTATTATTAGTTCATAAGTTCATTCCCAAATCTAATTAACATATTCAATATACAATAAAAATATATTATATATAATAAAAAAAATACTTTTTTCATTCATTTCATTTTCTATTTTTCAATAAATGATAATTTTTAAAATTATTCATAAAATATTAAATATAAAATATTAAATATAAATATAAATTACTTTACCTGAGTTTAAATATTTGCAATTTTTTAAATTCACTAAAACATAATATAAAATTATAAAAAAATTAATCACTAAAAAAAAACAACAAAAATTTCTACAAATATTCACAAATTATTCAGAAACAGAAATATTATAATATATCTCTTCATATCTCGCATCGTACTGTTAAAAGACGCATCTCTCACTATTAAACTTAAATATATGAAGTTCTTTTTCTATTATTTTCTAATTACATCTAGTAACTTTCATTGTAATCTATCGACTGTTTTTTGATTTTGTCTTTTTCTGTCCAGAAATGTATTTTTCAGTAGAATAGCCAATCAGATATACATTGATATTACTATATGGAAAAAACAATGAATGATCTCATTTTTGATTTTCATATTTTAAATATATTTATATTATAAATATATTATATATATTTTGAACTTAAAATTATTTAATCTAAAGGAAACGATTATAGTATAAAAAATATATATATATTATATATATTATGTATTAGTATTACTTATACATATGGATTATATTCATTAAAAAAGTAAATTACAAACATAAAAAATATATATATAGAATGAGAAAATTTGGCATATTAACGAAAATTTAATAATCTTTCTTTATATGATAACTGACAGCATGATTCAATAAATAATCCAACATTGCAATTTATGCATTGAAAACATATTTTATTTTTTTTATACTTTGCATAAACAAAATATTTTTAGTGAAACGAAATAGATTATCATAAAAAATAGATTTAAATTATTACTGGATATTTTTTTTTTTAATTTTTTTTTTCTATCAAACATAAATGAAATTGAACAAGTTTTAAATCTTTTTTAATCAAATGAGCATCTTGCATCAGGCCTTTAAGTGCTGTCTACGCACAGAAAAAATATCTCTCATCGCCTATAGGCGTTATATGTAATTAAAAGTATAGAATATTGATATAGTATCAATGTTTTTATAACATTACTTTGTAAATGAGATTTTTCGAAGACTTAATGAAATTTTAAAAAATTTAATGAAAATACATAAAAGACATAGACTTTCTTGAATTAGAAATATTCGAAATAAATATTTTATGGACGCACATAAGATATGCTTGTGCTATTTAGAATAAATACTTAATATGAAAAAAAAATTTAATTTTTTTTAATTATAAAATAATTATTGCTATATGTAGCAAAAATTTTTATCTAATAATTAGACTTGATTGTAAAAAAAATTAAAAAATTTTTGATACTAATCATAAAAAAACATTTATAAATGGAATTCAAAGAAGTCGATTTAAAAAGTTATTTATTTTATTTTTTTGTAATTATAAGATATTTTCTAAATAAGAAATTAAAAATTATTAAAAAATAATTAAGGCTTTTATAAAAATAAATCAATTTATTAATATAATTATCAATATTATTATATATTTTTTGAAAATATATTAAAATAATTGAAGATATTTTTGGAAAAAAAGCTTATAGATCTAGAAGTCACTTTTAGATAAATCATCTTTAATTGCTACAAATAAAAATATTTCCCTAAAATTTTGTTTCAACATATAACAATTGAAATAAATGTAACGTTTTTATTTAATCATATATAAACGATGTAAATTGTATCAAGATTAAAAAGCATCATAGAATAGTTCCACAGAATAGAAGAAATAGTTTCGACGGAAAGAAATATATTTTTCCTCCAAAGAAAATTATTTTGTTTATCGCATATTTTACGCATCGCGTAGGAAAAATATCGAACGAATTTAAATGTAATATCATGTAACTATTTCTATAAATAGCAAAAATATTTCAAATAAAAGTTGTATGATTTTATGAGAAACATATGATAATTATTTGAGATAATGCTGAAAAAAAATTAAATTTGTAAATGTTATATTTTTTATTACATTTTTTTATAACCTATATTGAGATATATTCAAAATTATCTATCTATTTTTCATAAATTAGTATTAAATTATTAACTTTCAAACTTTACATCTCAATAAAATAAAAAACGAATTAATCAAATTATGAGCAGTGACTACATTTATATTTTTCAGCCATAAATATTGGCTACACAATCAAAGAAATAGTTAAATTAATCGCAAAATATCATAATTTAAATTTAATTAACATTTAAAACAAAAAAACAATTTTTTCGCTACATCTATTAATTATGGTTAAATTTGACTTATATTATTTATTATTTATATCTAATATATTATTTTTCAAGAATATATTTCATTCATATTTCATTATGTAAATACTTACGTAAATGTAAGTGATACATTGAAAATGTTATATAATTAATCACAAATTATTCTCTTTTGTATTTTACATAAAATTATACATGTAGGTGTAGTAAAGAGAATATAATGCATAAAAATTTTATGAAAAAAAAGTTTAATTTTTAAATGGTTAAATATTTTTGTAACCAAAAGTATTTATGTTTTAATATATTTCAAATCATTATTTATTATTTTTGAAAATAAATAAATATTATATTAATATATACTATTATTAACAAGTTTAAGTAATTGAGAAGATTCTTCAACTGAATATTCGATTAATGTACATTCAAACTGATCTTGAAAAACATTTTGAAATAAAGGTAATACATCTTGAATAGTAACATTTGTATTAAGTTCTTGACTAATACTTGTTACACCCTTTCCCTCAATACCACAGGGAACAATATGATTAAACCAATTTAAATCTGTATTACAATTTAAAGCTAAACCATGTGTTGTTATATAACGACATCCATGAATACCAATAGCACAAATTTTTTTATCATTTATCCATATACCAGTATCAGAAGATTTTTCACCTTTGATACCATATTTTGCACATAAACGAATAATCATATTTTCTATTTGACAAACATACCATTTAATGCCATTCTTAAATTGCTTTAAATTTAATATAGGATATGCTACTAATTGTCCAGGTCCATGAAAAGTTATAAGACCACCTCGATTTGTTCTAAAAAATTCTGCACCTAAATTTTTTAATCTCTTTTCATCTTCTATTGTATAGATTTTATCTCTGATTCCTACTGTAAATACTGGATTATGCTCAATCAATATTAATGTATTACAATTCTCATCTTTTAATTTCTGATGATGTCGATCAGACAATATTTTTTGTAATTTAAGGCCAGAATTATAACTTAATCTACCTGTCCACAAAACTTTGATTATTTTTGTAGACATAATGAGACAATATAATTATATTTTTTCAAAATTTAATTTTTTTTACTATTATACATAATTTTAATATCAACATTTTATATCATATTTTTTTTAACATTTGCCTGTTTTTGTATAATTGTATGTAAGAGCCAGGAAACCTAAAAAAATGTAAATGTATTAAATATATTAAAATTAGAAACTGAAAATGATAATAATAATAATAATGAAAAATATACATAGGCATCTGTTGCAGCATATATTTTTTGTTCATTACTTAAAGGATATAAATGCCATTTACTTTTTCTTACTTTTGAATCTTTATTGAGTTTTCTTTTTAGCTAAAATCAAAAAAATAATTAAATTGTTAATAAATAAAAGATAGTAAATATTAATTTCATTTTATTATTCTCCATAATAATAAAAATAATATTAGAATATTAGAATATTGAATTAAAGATTTAAGATGTATATAATAAACTAACCAAATATGCTGTTAACTTTTCTAAACTCCATCGACAAGATCTATTTAATATTTCATTTGCAAATTTACTACTGTCAATACAATTATTTTCAACAATTTTAGAAGCAGGAAATTCTTTAAAATCTCTGCCTAATTTCCAAATATCACTGTAAAAAAATATATTATGAAAAATTTTGTTATGTAAATTTTATTATAATAATGCTTTATTAATTAGCATACTTCTTTATGTTCACTCCAACTAATCTTACTTTTGGATGACTTAAAAGAACTACAAATGCTGCAGGCAATTTTTTTAATGAATATATATGTAATAAATAACAAATAGTTTCATTGAAACAAATTTGTGCTAAGGCTGTTTTTCCACTTCCTGTATGAAAATTAAAAGGCCATTCCAAATCAAATCCTATTAATGTTTCTTTATGATCAGAATTTTCTACTTCCTTTCTAAATAAATTATAGAAAAATGTTCAAAACATATTAATATTTTCTTTTTTATATATTTCATATTAATTTTAAAATAATTTGACATAAATCTTACATAATATCATCACAAATCATAGCACAATCATTAAATCCACTGACACAATTAATATATCCTTTAAATTCAATTATTGGAAATTTAGATATATCAACTTCTTCTTTTGTAGAAATTTTGTTTTGCGATTCTTCCTATTGAAATATTTGCAATTTACATTAAACTTCAATACTATTTATAAACTTATATTTAAAAATATAATTGAATTTATTACACTAATCAAATTAAAAAATTAATATTAATGCAAATAATCAATAATTTTTATAGATACTTATTTTTTTATTATACATTAATTTAATTCTCACATATCATATCAATATTACATTACATATACATCAATTATTATATCATGTATATCAATATATTATATAATAATTAAAGAAATAATAAATAATATTAACCTCTTTGGATCTATTAATGGAAATTATTTCTTGAGAGTTACATGCAATCATTATTAAAAAAAATAATTTTATTAATAAAATTTAAAATTTAAATGAAAAAAACTTTTTTACTTATTCACAAAAATATCTTTTTTATTTTAATTTTATACCTTCGAAAGCTGCTTCTGTTGGCTCTTGCTAGCTATTATTGGCTAACAAAATAAAATATATTCGTCAATACTAACTTTTGCTATACTGATTGCTTAATTTCATGAAAATAGACAAAAAAAATTAATATATAAAAAAATAATTTTTTATTTTAAATCTTAGCATTCTGAATTAATTATAAATTCTCTGAATTTCAATTATATGATTTTATATTAATTTACTTAAAAATTGAATTGTCATTCATAGATAACTATTTTATTCTTGATGTAATTTGATAAAAATGATAATTTGATAATAACTCTAAACTAAATATATAATATATTTATTTAAATTTATTCTTTTCAACATTTCAATTAAATAATAAATTAGAAAAATAATTATAATTTACCAAACAAATAAATAGCTTTAATCTTATTATTATAATAATAAATTTTACAATTTAATTTTTAAAATCAAAATTTTATAATTTCAATCAATTTTAAAAACATTCACTTTACATTTATTGAACAGTAATCATTCTAATTTCTTAATCTTTATTATTTTTATTATTATTAATATTTATAAATTAACAAAATATTATTTATATTCAATGATAAAAAAAATTTGATTTTATTAAACTTTATTTATTGATTTTTTGTTTATATTTTAATTTTATCTTAATTCTAATCGAACATTATAATGGGAGTAAAAGGAAAATTTTGATCTTTTGATTGAATTATATTTTATGAGATTTTATTAAATATTTTTTAAACACAAATAAGTAATGAGAAAATAAAGTGATTTCGAGAATGTATTGAAAATTTTGGGAATATGTTTATAGGAAAATTTTTGATGCATAAATAACCGTTTTTATTCAAAATCAGAGTCCTTTTTTGTATATTCTAATTCTCTTCTATGTATTGAATTTAAATCATAATA